GCTGAGCTGAGTTGAGTTGAACTGGGCTGAACTGGGCTAAGCTGAGCTGACTTGAGTTGAACTGGGCTAAATTGGACTGACTTGAGTTGAACTGGGCTGAAATGGGATGAACTGGGCTGAGCTGGGCTGGCTTGAGCTGGGCTGAGCTGAGCTGGTATGGGTTGAGCTGAGTTGAGTTGAACTGGGCTGAACTGGGCTTAGCTGAGCTGACTTGAGTTGAACTGGGCTAAATTGGACTGACTTGAGTTGAACTGGGCTGAAATGGGATGAACTGGGCTGAGCTGGGCTGGCTTGAGCTGGGCTGAGCTGAGTTGAGTAACTGGGCTGAACTGGGTTGAAATGGGCTGAGCTGGGCTGGGTTGAGCTGAACTGGGCTGAACCAGGCTGAGCTGGGCTGAACTGGGTTGATCTAGGCTAAATTGAACTGGGTTGAGCAGAACTAGGCTGAGCTGACCTAGGCTGGGTTGAACTGGGAAAGTTGGGCAAAATAGGGCTGAACTAGGCTGAGCTGACCTAGGCTGGGTTGAACTGGGAAAGTTGGGCAAAATAGGGCTGAGCTGGGCTGGGCTGGGCTGGGCTCGATCAGCTGAGTGTACTTAGGTGCTAGGCCAGCTTTTCAAGCTCAGTCAGCTACACTGAACTGAATTGAACTGCATCGTGTGGCCTGGGCTAAGATGAGTTGTTTTGCTTGAAGTAGGGTATCATGGGCCGGACTGGGCCAGGCTGGATCAGGGTGGGCTGTCTTAGCTAAGCTGACTCGAAAAGGGCAGAGCTGGCTGGGCCGGGCTGGGCTGGGCGTGCAGAGCTGCTTTGTCTTGCTGGTCTCACCTGTCCTGACAGAGGTCACCTGGGCTGTGCTCAGCTGGACGAGACGGGCAGAACAGAGCAGGGTGGACAGAGCAGGGTGAGGAAGCAGAGCCAGGAGGGCCAAAGTCTGGAGCTCCGAGGCCAAGGAGGGTACAGACAAGCATGCACCCCAGAGAGGGGAGGGGCCAAGGTCTTCGTCCTCTGCCACAGGGCCTGTGTCAGGCTCCTGGGAGGCTAGCAGGAAGGGCAGAGAACAAGGGGGGGCCTGGCTGGTCAGGCGAAGATTGGGGTGAAGGGGTAGCCAGGGCAGAGCAGCTCAGGGAGCGAAGAGCTGACCCACGGCCACATGGAGCAGGGGCCCAGTGGGTGGCAGGGGGACCTCCCACAGGGACTTTGGAGTGCGGGAGGGGACACACGGTGGTTCCTGGGAAATGGGGGCCTCTGGATCCCCAGGCTCTCATGTGGTATATGGGTGAAGGCAGAGGGACAGCTTGACGGCTCCTGGGGGGTTCTCAGGGTCCTTGATCCCCAGCGCGGGTCCACGAGTGGAGTGGATAGGCAGCCTGGTAATCCCTGGGGATGCCTGTGTCCCAGGGCAATGGTGGGGGCAGAGGGCACAGACCAGTGGTTCCAGGGCATTTCAGGGCCCCTGATCCCCAGTGGAGCTCTACAGGTGGGGGTGGAGGCGTAGCCCAGTCACTGCTGGGTGGTCTCTCCGGGTCCTCAGGCCCTGGCAGGGAGCTGTGGGCTCTGACCCTCAACCTCAGGCAGTAGATTGGCACCTCCACTCACGAGCCCCACGTCCTGCCACTCTGGGCTGAGGGTAGGAGTCCTGGCTGAGGCTAGTGACGTAATGCTTGTGGTGGGGACACAGCAGTTGACTCGGGGGGGCATTCCTCAAGAATCAGAAAATGAGGAAAGGGCCCAGAATGAGCCGTCTGTCCCCAAAGGCTGGAGCAGGAGTCCCAGGGCTCCCTGCACCAGACAGCCCCCAGCCCCCTGCAGCCCTCACTCCCAGGCCCCCAGGGCAGCAGTGAGCCTGGCATGTGTCAGGTGACAGTCCTGAGCCCAGTGCCTACCCTGGCCCTGTCCCCACAGCCTCCACCCAGAAACCAACCGTCTTCCCCTTGACCTGTTGCAAAAACACCACCGATGTCACCGCTGTGGCGCTAGGCTGCCTGGTCACCGGCTATTTCCCGGAGCCAGTGACCGTGACCTGGGACACAGGGTCCCTGAACAGCAGCACCAGGACCTTCCCCGCCATCCAAAACCTGGAATCCAGCCTCTACACCACCAGCAGCCAGGTGACCATCTTGGGCAAGTGGTCCAAGCAGAAATTCACCTGCAGTGTGGCTCACCCTGACTCCAACATCACCATCACCAAGGTCGTCCCTGGTGAGCCAGGGCTGGGCTGGCCCCTGAGACAGCGGGAGGGAGGAAGGGAGGGCTGGGTGGGAGGGGCAGGGAGGAGGGGATGGGGCTCCCATGCCACCACTTCTGGGAACACCCATCAGCGTGCTCGCGGCCCAGGCCAGGATATCGGGGCACAGGGCTCAGCGAGGCCTCTGCCCCCAGGGTGCTTCAAGGACTTCCCTGAGCCCTCCGTGAAGCTCTTCCACTCCTCCTGCAACCCCGACGGCGACACCCACACCACCATCCAGCTTCTGTGCCTCATCTCTGGCTACATGCCAGGCAGAATCCAGGTCGCCTGGCTGGAGGACGGGCAGGCGGTCACAGACAGGTTCCCACAGACCGCCAATGACAGACCAGAAGGCAAGCTGGCCTCCACCCACAGCCAGCTCAACATCACGCAGGAGGAGTGGCTGTCCCAGAAAACCTACACCTGCCAGGTCACCTATAACGGCTTCACCTATGAAGACCATGCCCGCAAGTGCACAGGTACTGCCCTCATGCACGCCGACACCCAGACACTTGGGGTTCAGAGCGGAGGGCGGACTCAGCCTCACACAGCCCCCTCCCGCACACTGCAGAGTCCGACCCCCGCGGTGTGAGCGCCTACCTGATCCCGCCCACTCCCCTCGACCTGTACGTCCACAAGTCGCCCAAGATCACCTGCCTGGTGGTGGACCTGGCCAGAAAGGAAGGCATGAATCTGACCTGGTTTAGGGAGAACAGGGGTCCTGCACAGCCAGACTCACTCGTCATCAAGACCCAGTTCAACAAGACAGTCACTGCCACATCCACCCTGTTGGTGGACGTCCAGGACTGGATTGAGGGCGAGACCTACTACTGCAAAGTGACCCACCCAGACCTGCCCAGGTCAATCCTGCGCTCCATCTCCAAGGCCCCCGGTGAGCCATGGGCTGAGGGGAGGCAGGGCACTCCCCAGGGGAGCCTGGGCTGACCCACACCTGTCCACAGGCAAGCGTTTAGCCCCCGAGGTCTACGTGCTCTCGCCACGCAAGGAAGAGCGGGCAGCCAAGGACAAGCTCACCCTCACCTGCCTGGCCCAGAACTTCTTCCCTGAGGACATCTCCGTGCAGTGGCTGAGGAACAATGCCCTGATTCAGACGGACCAGCACAGCACCACGAAGCCCCACAAGGCCAACGGCCCTTCCCCCGCCTTCTTCGTCTACAGCCGCCTGGTGGTCAGCCGGGCCGACTGGGAGCAGAAGAACAAGTTCACCTGCCGAGTGGTCCACGAGGCACTGCCCGGCTCCAGGACCCTCGAGAAATCCGTGTCCAGTGACCTCGGTAAATGACGCCTGCCCACCTGCCCTCCCCCGCTCCCTCCCCAGCCCCCAGGGCTCCTTCCTCCTGCGATGGACCTTCTGTCCATCATCAATAAACACTCCAGTGCCTGCTAAGAGCCCCGGGCGTGCCCGTTCTTGGGGGTTGTGGGGTTGTGGGGCAGGGCGTCTTGGCACAGGGGAAGGACACAGGGCCAGCGCAGGGCTGAGGCATGAATCTGGGCCCTCCCCACCACCCCACTGTGGGTTTTGCCTGCTCAGAAGGGTCCTCCGAGGGAAGGGACCACAGAGATCCCAGCCCCTACACTCCCAGGTCCAGCTGCACACACACAGACCCTTTGGGCAGAGAAATGGGCCAAGTCAGAACCCAGCACGGGCTCGTCCCTCACTCTCACCTCCTGGGCACAGACGGGCCAACCCCACAAAGGGGCCAGCACTAAGCTCACGCCCCTCTGAACCCCACATCAGGCAAGGGTTGGAACCCAGTGCCCTCACCTTGCTGCTCAGACTCACTCCACCCTGAATCGATCGGCACACTGCCCGGCCCTCCACACACCCTCTGGCACCAGGGCTCCGCACCGCCCAAGTCACGCAGCAACTCCAACAGCACCCTGGGCCGCACCTCACACATGCACACAAGTGGCCTTCCATGGCCCACCCTCTACCCAGGCCGCTCCCAAGCCCTTCCCTGTCACACCTGGGCCCTTGGGCCCACCAGTGGCCACACATGGTTTCCTCCGGTGGCCTCGATGACCCCTGGCTAACCCCTCCTTGTCAGCTGCACCCCACAGAGGGACACACAGACACACACTGACACACGTGGACTGAAACACATGGATGGATATACACAGACATGTATGGACAGACACACTGACACACGTGAGTGGATGTATATGGATATGTGTGGACACAGACACACGAGCACACGGACACACACAGACACACGCAGACACACACGAGATACGGATACACACACACGGGCAGATACACAGACAGATACACACATGTACACACACGAGCACGTGGACACACATAGACAGATATACACACAGACATGCACACAGACACACATGGACAGATACACAGACAGATACACACATGTACACACACGAGCACGTGGACACACATAGACAGATATACACACAGACATGCACACAGACACACATGGACAGATACACACATGGTCACACATGGACATACACACACAGACACACCTGAGCACACAGACACACACAAGCACATGGACACACATGGACACACATGCATTCCCTAGCACGCAGGTATCCCCATATCCACGCAGAAGCAGAGCATGCACAGCCCACACCCTGAAGATGAGCCCAGAGCGGAGGTCGGGCTGGAGGAGGAGGGTCCTGACTCCAGGGCAGGTGCCAGGGGGCCAAGCAGCTGTGCGGCCAGAGTAGAGCTGGAGGGCAGCTCTGGGTCCCACAGCCTGGGCGGGATCCACACTTCTGGGCCCAGCCCTCAGGGCACCCACTGTGATGACCCAATGACCCAATGTCCATCCCAGGTCCACGCTCAGACCCCCCTCCTGAGGGCTCCAGGCAGGGTGGACAGCTGTGTGTGCTTAGGGGGGTCCCCAGGCTGGTGAGAGTGGAGCTGGGCAGCCACGGGCCATGTGAAGGACTGGAAGTGGGAGCTCTCAGACTGGGGGACCCCAGCCTGCCACGGGGCAGGGAGTCAGGGAGGGGCAGAGCCAGAGCTGAGGTGAGGGGCCTGTGGGGGCTGAATGGGGGTGATCAGCAGTCAGAAGAAAAGCTATCAGAAACAGTGGGAGCAAAAACACCAGCCACCTTGGGGACAGGGGACAGGAGAGGACGTGGGACCAGTGCCACCCCCACACAGCCACTCGCTGACTTGGGGGCTTCGAGCCCCCAGCCCTCCAGGGCTGGCCAGTGGCTCTGGGTCGGACAGGAGGGGCTGCCCAGGACCTGGGCATCAGAAACCAGGATGCAGGGCCCCAGTTCTCTCCACTTCCCAAGGGTGGCTAGGCCTGTCCTCCCCCATCAGACCCTGAGGCCAGGGAGGGCTGACCAGCCGGTGCCCACAGAGCTGGGCCTCGAGGACATGTGTGCGGAGGAGGCGGGGAGCGAGGAGCTGGCTGCGACCTGGACCAGCCTCTCCATCTTCATCACCCTCTTCCTGCTCAGCGTGAGCTACGGCGCCACCGTCACCCTCTGCAAGGTGGGTGCAGAGATGCCCTCTTCCAGGGTAGGGGGCAGCCCAGAGCGGGGAGGGCCCCACGCCCAGGGAAGAGCCCCTCTCACATGTGCCCTCCTCCCAGGTGAAGTGGGTCTTGGCCACCATCCTGCAGGAGAAGCCCCAGGCCTTCCACGACTACACGAACATCGTGCGGCCAGCAGCCTAGGCCTGGGGATCAGGCGCACGGTCCCCTTTCTCCCCCCTCAGGTGTGACCTGCCCTGAGCGGGAGGAAGAAACAGACAGACCTCCAAGGGGCCAGAGCCAGGGACCCGACGACAGCACATGGGCGTCCAGACATTCTAGCTCAGCCCCAAGGTCCAAGGTCCAAGGTGCCAAGGGGGCCGGCCCGTCACAGCCCCACGCCCACCCACTTTGGGACAAGTCCCAGGGAGCATCTGTCCCCTCCACAGAGAGACCTGGGCTGGGCTGGGCATGGTCCCGACCATCCTGGGCTCCTCAGGCCCCCCCATTCTGAGTGGACAACCCCTAAAACACAGTGAGGGCCTGGCCAAGCTCAGAGGCCAGAGCCAAACCTAGGACTCAGTCCCAGTCCAGCCCAATCCAGTGTCCAAGTCCAGCCCAGAGTCCCAGTCCGGCCAAGCCAATCCAGACCTCACTTCCCAGGCTCGGTCCGACCCGCCCTGTGCCCAGGTCCACGTGCCCTGGCCCCATGCCCAGCCCTCGTCCTGTGCTCAGCCTTCCTGCTGGCCACCCCCGCCTCCAGGCCTGCAGAAGAAGGAAGGCAGAGAAGCCTTTCTGGGGAGAGGCCATGGGACTGTTTGGGGCTGTGGGCAGAGCCCCTGGGGTGGGAGGACCTTCCCATGGGAACCACACAGAAATCAGCTCAGCCCAGCAGCCCCCGCCCCCACCCCCACCACGGTGGCCTCGTGCGGCCTCTCTCTTCTCACTTTTCTTAGTAAAGTTCTATTTCACAAATCCCATGCCACCTGAGCGAAATCCACCTGTGGTCCCATGTGGTGGGGGGGCCCCTACCCCTAGGATGCGAACAAAGGGCCAGAGGGAAGGGGTCAGAGTGCAGCTCTGGGGCCCTGAAGGCCCAAGGGTCCAGCCAGACACTGCCTCAAGCGTCTTTCAATGACCACAGAGACCCCCGGCTCAGTCTTCCTCACACCTGCACGCCTGGCCCCCAGCACAGACTCGCTGCCCCTCCCCCCAAACAAATGTGAAAGCGACAACCCCCCCCCCCGTGGCGAGCAAGCCCCAGGCGCTCACCCTGCAGCCAGCGCAGGAGGCCACGGGAGCACAGCTGCACAGGCCCCAGGGCGGGGCTCCGCACCAGCCTCCTGCACCCAGTCCCTGCCCCAGTCCGTCCGTCCGCTGAGCTCACGCAGACGAGCCAGTCCTTGGGCCCCGTCCTGCCAGCCAGCCCGCCGAGTCGTCCCGATGAGCAGAGTGAGACACGTGAACAAGCAAGAGCTATCTGGGGCTGGCCACACCGGCCTCAGGAAGAAAGGTTTTCAATAATCAGAAAAGATACAACCCGGAGGAAATGAGGGCTGGTGACCCTCGACCCTTTCGAGGCTGTGTGAGCTGCGAAGACCAGTCTTCAGGGCCCTTTGGCCTGGCTCCCAGCACACAAAGCCCAGACCATTCCGACCGGGTGTCCCACCCACGGCCAAGAGCCTTCTGAGAGCCGTGATCTGCGCGGGCAGACCTGGCCTTCCACGGACCCTGAACAGACTCTGCAGCCTGTGGAAACCCGGGCCTGGGCTACTCTGAGGCTTGTCCAGAGACACTGAGGGTTCGGTTTAAATAGAACATCAGAGCGGTAGGCAGGCCCCTCAGGACAAGGCCGAGGCCGCAGCCCTGCCCTGCACTCCTCACACTCACACTCCCGCAGACACACACGTGCACACACTCACACGCGGTCTCAGGAAACCAGGCGCAAGTCCAGCTGTTAGAGTCCAAACTCGCTCTGCTCGCCACGCGGCAGGCCAGCAAACCGGGAGACGAGGTGCTGTGGCAAGGAATCGCGACTTTACTCAGAAAGCCGGCAGACTGAGAGGGTGGCAGGCGAATACCTTGGAGAACCACCCTGTTCCAGTCAGAATACAGGCTCCTTCTATACAAAAAAAATGGGAGGGGTGTGGTTGGTTGAGCAAACTTCTTGCTGCAGGAATTCTTTGTCCTTGCAGCTGTCCACGTGGGCCAGGCCGTGGTGTCCCTGTAAACCTCCAACAAGACAAAGGTTATTCTCTATTTCGCAACTTGCCATCTCCACATAAGTGCAGAAGGGCTAACATCCTTCAAGGTCAGAGCCCCGAGAATAGGCTCTCCTGTCTATTTCAGGCTAAAGGCAACACTGTTTTACAAAAGGTGCAGAGCCAGCAGGACTAAGCCTAGAGAACAGAGCACAGTGGTTAGAACTAAAGGAACAGATCCAATACGGAGCCAGATTTGTTTTCCTCTGTTACACACCCCCACCCCGCACCACTCTCCCAAGCCGAGGCCCAGGTGCCCTCCCCCATCTCCTGAGCTGGGAGCCCCCCAGGGCTAAGCCGAGGGTCTTCCTTCTCTGACTTGCCCCCTAGATCAGGAGACCCCCCCAGAACGGACCCAGAATGAGGGTGACAAGGGCTCAGCTCACATGGGCCCCTGAGAGCTGGGCACTGCTACACACGGGTGACATGCACCTCCCCAAGCCGGGAGGAGGGCTGCAGCCGCCCCGTCTGGAGGGGCCAGCAGAAGTGGGGGCACCGGCCCAAGAGCAGGGCCGTAGGGAAGGCAGGAGGACCATGACACCCCGCCAGCTGGCCCCCCACCCAACAACCCCACTGCACGCGCCCTCCCTGCAGCAAGACGCTGCCGTCTCAGGGTCCCCCAGCCCTCTCTCCCTCCTCCATTAGCCCCTATAGTGGGCTGAATGGCGCCTTCCAAAGGCTGTGTCCATGTGCTCAGCCCTGCAACCCGTGAATGTGACCTTATCAAACAAAGGGTCTTTGCAGACGTGATCAAGATTAAGGATCTCAGGACAAGATTGTCCAGGTGGGCCCGACATCCAGTGAGAAGTGTCCTCATGAGGCGCAGACGCAGAGCAGGAGGTCGTGTGAGGACGGAGGCAGAGACGGGGGTGATGCCAGAGAAGCCGGGCCCCCGGGGGGAGCTCAGCTCTGCCACACCTTGATTTCAGGCGCCTGGACCAAAAAGGAGAAGATGAATGAGACTGAGTTTCTGTTGTCCTAACACACTCAGTGCGTGGTCCGCTGTCGGGCAGCCCCAGGACGCTCATGCGCCCAGCCAGCAGGCCTTGGCCAAGCGGGGCCCCTCCTCCTTCCAGAGAAGCGCAGGGAGGACTTGTCTGGGCTCTTTCCCTCCCAACTGGACCCTTGCGCTTGGCAAGTCCCTGACGCACGGAGGCGCCCGGTCGGTCTTGACAACAGAGCACACTCGGGCTCAGGCCTTCCCCCAGCTGCTGGGGCCCTCAGGTCACGCAAAACCCCAAGATAAGAGTATTGCACTGTATTAAGTAGCCTGTCACACACACTTAAATATTAACCTACATGAGTTACTTGTATCTGCTAGTGAAAGTCTTTACATAGCTAAAATGTGATTAGTAATATTGGAGACAAAGCCCTGAAAAATTAGAAATAAAAGATGTCATCAGATGAGCAACCTCTACTCTGTTTAGAGTTCATGGTCATTACCTACATTTTCTAGGCCACCCCAAGTCCACAGGGACATTCTTCTTTCTTCCCTGAGTTCCGCAGCCTCTGTGCCCACGGTGGGGCCGTGCTGCCCGGGGTGACAGACAGCTGAGGGGAGCCAGGAGGCTGTGAGCAGGGCAGCCCCCCAACTCCGCCACCTCCCCCACCACCCTCCTCTGTTTCCTCCACAGCAGGCCAGTCTGTTCCTCCTGTTCCCTCAGGGGCGGCTTTGGGGAACAGACTGGGGTTTCAGATCCCCAGAGAGTTCAGGGCCCAGGCACTCTCTGGCCAGCAAGAAGTCAGATCCTCAGGGCCATGCATGCACCACGCAGGCACTGCTGGTGCTCACGAGGGCGTAGGGTGGGCCAGAGCCCGCAGCCTGGGAGATGTCGCTCGTGGGTGACGCTACGGGTATCCCAGTGTTCATGAGAAAACCCCAGAGGCCCCTTGACCAGGCCCGGGTGTGTCTGACCACTCAGCACCATCCAGGCTTCCCACCTCCATGCATCTCCCTACTCCCACCTCACCTGCCCTAACCCCCATCCGGAGCGCACCCCATCCCCAGGACACTGCCAACCTCCTCCACCGCCCAGTGTCCCTGCTGGCCTGCAGCTCTCCCCCTGACAGTGTCCTTCCCAGGAGGGACGGTTGATCCCTGTGTGTGGCTCCAGGACCTTGTGTGTGTGAAGAAATGAATGAACAAATCAGGCCCGACTGCCCTGTGTGTGCCCAGGTAGAGCAACCGCCTGAGCGGCATGAGGGCGGGCCAGGCAGGGTGCACGTGTGCAGAGAGTGGGGGCAGACAGGCTCCCAGCAGGGGTGCCCCATGCCCCACTCCAGCTCCAGTTGAGGCCAGCTCCTCGTGGGGCTGGCCGAGGCCAGGCTGGAGAGTCTCCCCACCTGAAGCTCTACAAGGCTGCTTGCTGGGGTCTCTCTGCCCAGCCTGCCCCTCAGAGCCCCTGCAGCCTCCCCTCTGCCTTCCCTCCACCTCTACCTCTGGGACCGTTTCTACTCTGAGGGCCCGGAGCCCCTGACGGTGCCTACTTCGGCCTCGGTGTCCCTGCACCTCAGCCCCCAGCCCAGCCCTGTGGGCAGTCACACGGAGTCACGACCCCTTCACAGCACCCAGCCCTGCACCCAGGTGGTCTCAGGCCAGGTCCAGGTTCCCAGAGGCCACACAGCCCAGGCCACACACACCTGGCCCACCACAGCCAGACCACAGACCAGACATGACGTGGAGGCGAGCAGCCGCAACCGGCGGGGCAGGAAGTGAGTGAGTGACCCTGTCCGGGGGCCAGACACAGTCATGCAGCCCCTCCCCAGCCGGCCCCTCACAGCATCAGCCTCCCCTGACAGTGCGCAAGTGGCACAGAGCGGGGCAGGGGTCTGCTGAGACCACACGGCCATCAGGCAGAGCCTGGACGAGGTCTGGGCCTCTCTCCACACCCCAGCTCCACTGGGGCGGTGGGCAGATGGCCTGCAGCCTGGGATCCCATGGCCAAGGGGGGGGCCTGGGCCTCTCCCAGCCACGTTGGACCCCCTGGCAGCCTTGAGCAGGTGGGTCCCAGAGGCTGTTCAGGCCTCATCTCCTCCTCAGCCAGGCCACATTGGGCTCTCCTGGGGTGGGAGGGTGGAGGGCAGGCACCAAAAGAGAGAAGAGAGGGAGAGAGGCAGGCCACCACCGACCCTAGACCACAGAGCGCGATGCTGTGCCCAGCAGGGCCAAGCTAGGCTACTGTGGCCTGATCTGGAATGAACTGGGCTGAAGTGGGCTGAACTGAGCCAGACTGAACTGGGTTAAACTGGGCTGAGCTGGGCTGAGCCAGGCAGAACTGGGCTAAAGTAGGCTGAAATGGGTTGAGCTGGGATAAGCTGGTCTGAACTGGGCTGAACGGGGCTGAGCTGGTCTGAATTGGGCTCAGTGGGGCTAAGATGGGCTGAGCTTGGCTGAGCTTGGCTGAGCTGGGCTGAACTGGGCTCAACGGGGCTAAATGGGGCTTAAGCTGGTCTGAGCTGGGCTAAACTGAGTTGAGCTGGGCTGTGCTGAGCTGGGCTGAGCTGGGCTCAACTGGGCTGAGCTGGACTGAACTGGGCTCAACTGGGCTGAGCTGGGCTGGGCTGAGCTGAGCTGAGCTGAGCTGAGCTGGGCTGGGCAGGGCAGAGCTGGGCTGAGCTGGGCTGAACTGAGCTGTGCTGGTCTGAGCTGGGCTGAGCTGGGCTGAGCTGGGCTGAACTGAGCTGAGCTGAGCTTGGCTGAGCTGGGCTGGGCTGGGCTGGGCTGAGCTGGGCTGGGCTGGGCTGAGCTGGGCTGAGCTGGGCTGAGCTGGGCTGAGCTAGGCTGAACTGAGCTGAGCTGGGCGAGTGAAACTGAGGTGGGCTGGGCTGGTGCCTGAGGCCAACAGGAGGCGGTGTGTTGAGTGTGGATCATCCGTAGAGCCCTGTCTCCAGCCTGACAGCCCCTTGCATTGCTTGGAGGCACATGAGGGCCATGCAGCCTCGGGGTGACTCTGTGATGCTTCCCTTCCCTTCACCAGTTGCCCTGAGGGGATTTGCAAAAGGACGGTGGGCAGACCCTGCCCTCTGTAGCCCGGCCTACCCAGAGGGGCATCTCAGAAGGACTGAATTGGAACTGGGCTTCGGGCCTCGAGACCCCCATAGCCCGTGGGAGTCAAATGCTAGTTTCGGAGGATGGGGGTGGAATTAGTAGAGTGGGGGTTGGTTGGACTGAGACAAAGACTGGGGGCCCGGGAGGTGGGAGAGGGGACACCAGAGGCCTAAGCTCCCTCTCCTCCCCAGTGTGAGCCCCAGGACAGCCGAACTGGTCTCTGCAGAGCCAGCTTCAAGCGCAGGCGGCTCTGTCTTGTAGCTGCCCTCTCTCCTGGCCACATTCCCCTGGGGGAGGAGGGCCTGGTTGTGCCCACTGCACAGAGGGGTGCTGAGGCTCCAACGGTGCCCACAGGCTCAGCTGCTCAGTGGGAGAGCTGTGTTTAATAACTCCCAGCTGGGGGCAGCCTGCGCCAGAGGCCTTGTCCGAGGCGCCCGTGGGGATCCACATGCTAAGAGCCCTGTGGAGTGTATTTAGAAATGGTGGAGCTGGACTCAGGTGGCCACTCCTGAGCCCAGCTGCACCACGTCCAAGCTGTGTGA